CCATTTTTTCAAATTATTGTTGCTTTTCCACAATAAATTTTTATTGAAAAACGGCCTCGAACTCAATAAAAATTGTTGAATATAATTGTTATAAAGGCCAAAAATAACAAAAACAAATAACTTAAGGACGAGCACACCTAAAAGTTAAACATTCTAAAAATAGAATTATTAGCAGAAACCAACAATACCAACAACCACATGATCAAGTGAATTTCAGCGGAATAGCTGCGCTTGATTGTGTTGGCATAACAAAAATGAAAATAGTGGAAAATAGCAAACGATAATTTATAAGGCGTACTTAGCACGGTGCATAGGCAACTGGCTGAGTCAGTGGGATCGTCGGTTCGAATCCTACTGAAAGAAGTCTGATAAGGAAATGTGGTGATTTCCGAAATAGCTATCACTTCCACCATTTTTTCAAATTATTGTTGCTTTTCCACAATACGTTTTTATTGAAAAACGGCCTCGAACTCAATAAAAATTGTTGAACATAATTGTTATAAAGGCCAAAATTAACAAAAACAAATAAATTAAGGACGAGCACACCTAAAAGTTAAACATTCTAAAAATAGAAGTATTAGCAGAAACCAACAATACCAACAAACACATGATCAAGTGAATTGCAGCGGAATAGCTGCGCTTGATTGTGTTGGCATAACAAGAATGAAAATAGTGGAAAAAAGCAAACGATAATTTACAAGGCGTACTTAGCACGGTGCATAGGCAACTGGCTGAGTCAGTGGGATCGTCGGTTCGAAGCCTACTGAAAGAAGTCTGATGAGGAAATGTGGTGATTTCCGAAATAGCTATCACTTCCACCATTTTTTCAAATTATTGTTGCTTTTCCACAATACGTTTTTATTGAAAAACGGCCTCGAACTCAATAAAAATCGTTGAATATAATTGTTATAAAGGCCAAAAATAACAAAAACAAATAACTTAAGGACGAGCACACCTAAAAGTTAAACATTCTAAAAATATAATTATTAGCAAAAACCAACAATACCAACAACCACATGATCAAGTGAATTGCAGCGGAATAGCTGCGCTTGATTGTGTTGGCATAACAAGAATGAAAATAGTGGAAAAAAGCAAACGATAATTTACAAGGCGTACTTAGCACAGTGCATAGGCAACTGGCTGAGTCAGTGGGATCGTCGGTTCGAAACCTACTGAAAGAAGTCTAATGAGGAAATGTGGTGATTTCCGAAATAGCTATCACCTCTACCATTTTTCCAAATAATTGTTGCTTTTCCACAATAAATTTTCACTGAAAAACGGCCTCGAGCTCAATAAAAATTGTTGAATATAATTGTTATAAAGGCCAAAAATAACAAAAACAAATATATTATGTTATCTTATGGTGTTATGTTATTGTATACAATAATATGTTATGTTATATTACGTTATGCAATGTTATGTTATGTTGTTTAATGCTATTTTATGTTATGTCATGTCATGCTATGTTATGTCAAGTTATATTAATTTATGTTACTTTGTGTTGTGTTATGCTATGTTATGTTATGCTATGTAATGTTATATTATGTTATGTTTTGTAGTGTTACGTTTTGTTGTCTAACGCAATTCAACTCAACTCACCACAACTCATATCAAATCACCTCTTAGCAACTGGTCTCAGTTTACCTCAACTCACCTTAACTCACCTCATCCCAACCCACTTCATTTAAATTTAACTCACCTTAGCTTATACGCGTACGCACACTCCGAGGCCCAAATAGCGACTCGGACCACTATCTTGTTGCAGCCAAGATACGCACACGCCTCTGTGCAGCAAAAAATGTGCGCCCAAATATGCAAGGAAAGCTTAACGTCGAAAAGCTGCAATCACAACAGGCAGCCAACGCTTTCGCTACTCGACTCTCACACCTGCTCTCAGAGAGCACTCTTCAAAAAACCGACATATGCGCTCATTAAGTACCGCCGCCGAAGAAGTAGTCGGATTTCAGCGAGCCCAAAAGAACAACTGGTACGATGAGGAGTGTCAGGAAGCTGCAGAGAAAAAATTTGCCGCCTACAGGGCCACGCTGCGATCGGGCGCAACGCGCGCTATGTGGGACCACTATAGGGATCAGAAGAAGGAAGCGAGACGTATTTGCCGCAACAAGAAGAGAGAGGCCGAAATACGTGAGGGCGAAGAGCTTGAAATGCTGGCCGACAGGAGGAATGCCCGAAAATTTTACAAGAGAGTTAGGCGACTTACGGAAGGTTTAAAGACCGGGGCGCACTCCTGTAAGAACAATAATGGCGACCTAGTAACTGATGTCCAGAGCGTACTTAAATTATGGAGGAAACACTTTTCCGCCCTACTAAATGGCAGCACGGAAAGTTGTGGAGAAGAAGAACCCGAGCCCGCAGTCGATGATGATGAGTCGACGTTCCACCGCCTGACTATGACGAGGTACGTATAGAAATAACGCGGCCGAAATACAACAAAGCCGCTGGAGCTGACAGCCTGCCAGCTGAGCTATTCAAGTACGGCGGCGAGGAGTTGA